CCTCCACCCCCTCCTCCTCCACCCCCCCATCCTCTCTCTCCAGATTCCTCATTCTCCTTTCGAAGCGCGGCGGCCTCCGAGAGACGCACTCGGGGCAGCTTGAAGAGCGGGATGGAGCCCATCGTGACCTTCTCTGTTTCGTCGTCGTCGCGGTCGTCGTCGTCGTTGACCTTCACGCCAGCGTCGTCGTCGTCGTCGTGTCGCCGACCTCCTCCACCTCCTCCCACCCCCCTCCCCCCCCTCCTCCTCCTCCTCCTCCTCCTCCTCCTCCTCCTCCTCCTCCTCCTCCTCCTCCTCCTCCCAGTCGCTGGCCTTCACCCCAGCGCCGAGGTTGGGCTTCGCGTCCTGCTGCTGGGGTTGCTGCTGGGGCTGCTGATGGGGGTGCTGTTGCTGCTGCTGCTGCTGCTGTGGCTGCTGCGGCGGCGGCTGCAGCCACATGCCGCCAGCATGAGCTGGCACCAACATCCGAGGAGGCTTGCGCCACTCTCGGCGATGATGAGCCAGCGCGATGCCAGGGGGCCGAAATGGCAATGGAAGGATGGGCGGACGAAGAGCAGGATTGAAGGATGGGTGGAAGACGGCATCGAAAATTGATGGAGGGAATACGCATGGGCGGGTGGATGGGTGGATGGGCGGTTGGGTGGATGGACGATTTCTGATGGCGGCGCACATGTTGAAGGATGGATGTGGATGGGTAGATGGACGAACGGATGGATTGATCACAGTGACGCCCCATAGGCAAAAACCTTTACGATCTAAACCCTCTGATCTACACCCCCGCAGAATGTTCAGGACAGAAGGTCCTTCGGAAGTTCTCTCCAGGAATTTCCATACGTGCAAAGACAGAAGCAGGAAACACGAGGAAGGCTGGGGCCAACCAGGCCAGGCACCCACCGGCTCATTCAACATCAAATGAAAACCTGCATGCGAAGCCCATTTAAGTTGCACTGTAAAAGGAGCAGAAGCAACTGTTTCAATCGGCGGGGGAAGAACGGCAAACATCTTCGATGTTCTTCCAAGTGGCGTCTTCCCACTCGCCCTAATTCCTGTCGTTGCCGTTGCATGTAGGACGCAAGTTCTGATGCAAGGGACTGCAGGGGTGGCTCTCATCCTCTGCCAGGGCCGACGATATGGAAGGGTGCCAATATGGCCCAAGCCACTTTTGGATCTCAATCGATTTCATCCACCACCGCTGGTTCACTTTCGGCTTCCCTCGGCGTGGCCCACGTGAGAACGGACCATCCAGTTGAGTTTATCCAGGATCACAGGGTCGGCCCGCGGAGGATCATCGCGAGGTCCGCTGTGGCATCATGGGCCATTTTTGCAATCGCGCTGCCACCATTTTCCTGGTTGTCTATGATGGCAAGGCTGTTCACTGCCCCCTTGCGGGCGCGCTCATCCTGCATCCTGTACCCTCTGCGTTCTTCTCTGGGCGGCCTGGCTGGCGTGAAATCGGGCGTTTGGTTGCGCTCTGCGAGCCTCCGCCCCGTCCAGCACAAGGATGCCCAGTGGCAACGTGGAATTGGGGGCAGACTCCATGCAATGCATGGACTGCGCCCGCGTGCTGGGGCAAACGGTGCAACACGGCCAGATCTTGAACGGCTCGGCCCCCGCCATGGTGCAGCCCAGCCAGAGCAATGCTCCACGTACCTCGTCCGATCATGGCTGCAGCGGAGCTCGCAAGTGCGCTGGCTTCGGCCTTGGAGCAACATCAGGGGGCCAACGCTGTCCCGGATTCGAGCGTGCCACACAACTCGAAGCGCATCAATGCGGCTACGAGGGCAGGCTCCGCGGAAAGCATCCGATGGAGTGCCAAATTCGACAACCAACACGAGACGTCGGCCTCGCCCAACAAAAATGAAGGCTGACACCACATGACGGAATGAATCACGAGATGAGCACCCAAAACCTGATGAAGCACGAAACGAGGAAACGGTCACCTGCACGGCCGCGGACATCAAAGACCTCTGCTACATCTTGCTGGGCGGCCAGTCAGTAGCCGGATGTAGCCGGCCTGCCAGTGTGCGTCCAGCCGGCCGCTGGCCTGCCGGATGGCGTGCCTGGGGGAGATGGCCTGTCGGCTGGCGCTCCGAATGTAGCCGCCAATGCCGGCCGTCTGGAGCTGGCCGGCCAATGGCTGGCCAGGGTCGCGCACCCCCGCACGACCTTGGCGCAGGTTGTGACGCGGCACCCCCGGCAGCGATGCTGGCAGAGGCGATGCGAGCTCCGATTGTCACGCCTGGGCTGCATGACGCAGTCTTTGCCTCCTTCGGCGCTGGCGCCCACCAGCCAGACATGCAGACATGCAGCAGTGGTTGGATTAGGTGTTGAACGCGAAGAACTTCCCGCAGTGAGTGAACACAGTGCAGCGAGTTGGGACCGATGCGCCCAGCGTCGATGGCCCGACCAACGATGTGGACGTCGGTGCGTTCATCTACTGCCGCGCCAGCGAAGATGAGGATATGGCGGACAGCGACCTGCACCCGGCCATCTGAGTGGACAAGAGAGCTTGCCCCTCAAAGGAGACTCGCCCATCTTAGCCGCGCTCGCTGTCGAAGGTGCGGGCATGTTTTCGGTCCTCATTTAAGTCCATGCAACGGTTCAGGCATTCGTTACGTAGCACCCCGCAGTCGCGGATAAGAGTGAGGGGGCGGCGGGGACATCGACAGTCTGCGAGGTTCTGATGAAGCCCGCCGCAGGCGCCGATTTTTCGTAAAAGCAATGTGGATGGGTCGCGGGGGTGGGTCGCGGGTGGGTCGCGGGTGCGTCGCGGGTGGGTCGCGGGGGGGTCGCGGGTGGGTCGCGGGTGGGTCGCGGGCGGATCGCGGGGTGGGTCGCGGGTGAGTCGCGGGCCAGGTCGCGGGGGACGGCGCCAAACAACAAACAAACAACACCAACAAAAACAACAACAACAACAACAACAACAACAAAACAACAACAACAACAACAACAACAATCCGCATCGCGGAATCCCATTTCAGCCACGCACCCAGGGACAATAAATAACCGTTCGGCCCCTCACACATATACATATACATATACATATACATATACATATACACATATATATATATATATTACTAGATATACATACATGTATACAAACATGAATATAAATAACTACCTACCTACATATATACATACGTGCATGCATGCATACATACATACATAAACACGTGCATGCATGCATGCATGTTTGCAACAATACATACATACATACTACAGAAATCCGTCCATACACACATACATACCTACATACATACATACATACATACATACATACATACATGCATGCATGCATGCATACATACATACATACATACATGCATGCATGCATACATACATACATACATACACACATACATACATACATACATACATACATACAGACCTTACATACAAAACAAACAGACAATGACGGAACCAACAAACATACTTACCTACCTACCTACATATCTACCTACCTACATACACACATACATACAAGCAACCAAACAAACATACATACACTAATGCATGCATACATACATACATATATTTACACTCAGACATGTATACACAAACGGAAACCCACCTCTGGTATTATACCTGTCGCTCCTTCTGCCACTCATTCCTCCTCTTCCTCTTCTGTTGATTGTCCGTCTTACTTCTCTCTCTCTCTCTCTCTCTCCAACTTTTCCCAGAGACTGGCACTTGAACCAGAGATTGGCACTTGAAAAGCGTTGTACTTTCCAGCTTTTCCAGCGTTTCCCAGAGACTGACCGTTGAAAAACGCTGTTTTCCAGCTTTTCCATCTTTGGTCAAATACTGACAGTTGAGCAACGCTGTGCTTTACTGCTTTTTCGGCGTCTTCCATACACTACCCCGTTGCGTAGCCTCTGGCAAAAGCTGGAAGAGCTGGGAAGCACAACGTTTTTCAACAGTCAGTCTCTGGGCAACATTGGGAAAGCTGGAAAACACATCGTTTTTCAAATGCCAATCCTTGCGGAAAGCCGGAAGAACCGGCACCCGTGCAAGCGTGCCCCGCGGCAACCATCTTTCCGCATGGCTGTCTTAAAGCGTTCCTGGCCCGTCGGACGCTGCCGGAAGTCGTTTTTGAGGCCTGTCTTCGCCGTCTTCGAGCCCGCTTGGAGCGCTTCGTGGCTGTCTTGGAGGCAATCTCAGGCGTGTTGAATCCTCTTGGGCCGTCTTGGGGCCCTCCTGGGGCCGTCTTTGGTGTTTCTGGGGCCGTCACGGGGCTATCGTGGCGGCCTCTTGGGTGATCTGGGAGCTATCTTGGGAGCCTCTTGGGCCATCTGGACCGTCAGCAAGCCGGAAAACAAAAAATGCACAAATCTTCGAAAACCAACGGGAACTTGATGAATTTAGCTTCTTCGGGATTTCCCATCGGATGTCTTGGAGGCGTCTTGGCCGCCTCGGAAGCTATTTTGAGTTACCTTAACCCCATCTTGGGCCTTGTAGGGTGCATCTTTGCTTTTTCAAATCGGCGGTGGACAAACCTCCCTTTAGTAAACCTCCCTTTAGCGAAAACGACCTAAGACCGAAGCCGACGGACCTGGACCCGCAAAAATAACGGCCGCGACGCCCTCTCGCGAACCGAAAACGGCCAATTCCTTAATCGACGTGTCAGGGTAGGAGGTCTGTCCACCCCCGATTAAAACATAGCAATCTCGGTCACAATATTCCAGGATCCCATCGGACTGCTGGGCGCCGTTTTGTGCTCTAGGTGCGGCGCCACCCAACCCAAATACACTGCAAGACGAAGGAGACGCAGGGTGCCGTCACAGCCCGCGGCTGCGGTCCCACCCAACCAAAAGAACATAGAAGGGGAGAGAGTGGGTACGAATCCCCGCAATAGAATAGCTAATTGTGCACATAACGGACATGATGCCGTCGTAACTCCATGGTCGCGGGGTCTGGACACGCGAAAACACAATGCGAGAGGAAAGGGACGCAGAGGACTGTCACAGCACAGAGCTGCCGTGCCACCCAGCAGAGACGCAAAATGCCTTCACAGGCAGTGGCTGCACAGTCTCGGACAGCGAAGGATGGGAAAAGGCGGAACCGCTCTCTGGGAGGGGGGAAATTTGTAATTCTGCTTCGACCCGCCCCGGGCCCGACCCCCCCAAACGAAGAGAGCAAGCGCGCAACTGCGAAGAGGCCTCTGGCCCGCGACCCAGGCACGGTGGCGGGGTAAGCTGAAGGCAATCATTCTACAGACAACCGTAGCCCCTGTCGAATTTCGGCGGCAGGCGAGCGCGTTCAGGCCGCTGCTTTCAAACATAATGCGCGGGCTGTCACAGACTTTGCGGGAGGCGACGGAACGTGACAGGCAGCAAGCTGCAAGCTGGACTGCACTGTTAGATGCTAGACCTGCGCAGTGCATTGGAGTCACAGTTGGCTCACATCAAGCCTCGCTCAGCGGTCGCGCCCCCGACCCTGCCATTCATCCGCGGACACGTTCCCCACATCGCTGCGGACGCTCCCCCCTTGCAATCCTCTGCAGGCCACTGTTTCTGTGTCTGAGTGCCGACGCGCAGCCATCACCCGCCGCTTCCGTCGGTGACTCGTTGATCGGCGGCAATATTCCTGAGAGTCTCTGCGGCCCGCTCTGCCAAGGCATGCGAAACTTCGACACCCCAGTCAGCTTCATCTGTACGATCGTATTGAAATCATCGGAATCTTCATCTGAATCACGTGGGTCAATCATGGGGCCTTCGACTGCAAGCTCTGCGCACTCCGCCCGCAGAAACGTAGCTCCGTTTCTGGAAAACCGCAAAGCCCCAAGGCCGACGCTCGCCGTGACCTCCTCGCCATCCCTATACTCCTCCTGATTCACCAGTTCTTGGACGTTCCTGTGGATCACGTCCAGAGCTTCTCTTGGAAGCCACTCCTCCAAGCGGGGTGCCTGGCCTCTGTCCCCGAAGCGCAGGCACATGTCCTCGACGGGCAGACCGCTGCTCGCCGAGTCCAGCCGCAGGCAGATGGACGAGACGCAACCCTCGTCCGGCGCGCAGCTCCCGGACGAGGACGAGGCCCTCGAGGACGACGCGAGCGAGCTTCGCAACCCCAGGCCTACGTGCTGAACGGGTTGCTGCGACGCCGCCCCTTGCTCCACCGGGTGGCGGTGCGGCTGCTCGCGGGCCAGCGCCGGCGGCGCCCCCGCAGGCTCGCCCGCCTCTGGGCCAGGCTCGCGCGCGGGCGCTGTGGCCGCCAGCTGCTGCAGTGCCACAACGCCCGGGGCATCCGTGCATGCCTCTCGCGGCAGCGCTTCGCAGGTCTCCCGGATCCCGACCAGGAGCTCGGGGGCATCGATGGCGTCGTCGAGGCAGATCAGGAACAGCTCCACGGGGATCGGGTTCGCCGACCCCTCCGTGCGCAGATTTACCTGGATGGAAGCAGCAGGGCGCCGAGCGCATTCGCCCAAGATCGGATCATCGGCTGCTGAGTCTTCCGACTGCAATCCCGCCGTCGCCGAGATGAAGTCCTGGAAGCGCTGCTGGTCGGACTCTCCCACGTACTGAAGGAAATTGCGTCCATGAAGAGTGCTTCTCCTGTCAGTGCTTCTCATGTCTCTTGTCCCATCTTCTGCGCCCAGCAAATTCACAAGATGTGGAGAATGGGAGATGATGCCACATCGTGGGCAGATGTGCAGCTGGGCGTCGCAGAACACAGCGAGCAACCTTTGACATGCCAGATGCAAGCTAGACTCTCGGGAAGCCTTGAGGATGTCCTTGTCGCAAACTTCCAGAAGTACTGAGGCAGCGCAGACAAGTACACAAGTAACCACTTCAATCATGAAGTGGTGAAAAAACGCAGCCATGGAAGATTGTCCATCGATGCGTAGCTGCCCGCGCCGATCCCAGACAGAGAGGCACATCACTGCAAAGAAGTAGATGTTCCATCTCACGGACATACTGCAATCAAATGCAAATAATGCAATAATCACTCGTAGCGCGCTCCACAACTGGCCGTACATGAGAAAACTATGCGTGTCTGCAAAGTACCCACGACATGCAATGCCCAGCATGACCACTTTGAATATGCACTCTCCGCCGACGGGGTAGGAACTGTACCGACGTTTCAAGTACCCCCAGTAAAACGTTGCAAAGTGACGCCCGCACATGAACACCGCCCTGAAGACAAGACCAATGTTGGAAGGACTTACTGTATACATGCAAATCACCAGCATCAGAAATAGAGCCGAAAAAGGTACCAGCGCCAGGTCCAACGCATACACCATTCGCGCCAGCCTGGTCTTATTGAAGTCACTTGATCTTCTTCTCTCGAAGGACGTGAATTGACAAGGCGAGAACATCGATTTGACTGCTACTTTGCATGCGTGAAGCGATGCTACAAAACCGCCCCAATCAAGCAAGACATCTGCAACGAAGCAGCATAGGCTCAAGGAGATACACGTGCGAACGACGACAGTGAAGAAATACTCTTGCTGCGCCACCTCAAGCAAGGGCGAGTAAGACATACCACCGGCTCACCACTAGGTTATGCACCGTTTTCAGTGTCAGACAAGCCGGATCGCGCCCGAAGGGTCGTCTAACACGATGGGGCACTCGAACCCGCCTGTTCGAGGGGTTGAGCCAAAATGGCTACGGAGCCGTGTAGGGTGCATCTTGGGGCCATCGTGGGCTCTCTTGAGGCCATCTTAGCGTTCTTGCAAGCCTTTCTGAAGCCATCATGGGCCATCTTGGCCGTCTTGGAGGCCATCGAGGCCGTTTTGGACCGGGAACGGGGGTCCTGGATCTCCGGTCCCGCCATAGAGAAATGAGGGAGGCCCCCCCGGGAACCTGGAAATCCTGTGTGTTAAATCTCTATATATATGTATGTATATATATCTATATATATATATATACACTGGTAGAGAGCCATCGCTTGGCGCATACTCGCCTGGTAAGTAATCCAAGGGTGCACACACAAAGCGTAGCGGAACTCCTCGCGGCCCCTGGAGTGAAAAGAGTGAACAACAGGACATGACATTGATGTTTTCCGACGGAGACGCTTCCACGCCTCGCGCGCACTTATCTGGTCGATTGTCCACGGGTGTGCACGCAAGGCGGAATGAAATAAACAATCGCCTCCGCGGTGAAGAGAAAGAAGCTGCACTGGCAGGGTCTCGCGCCAGAGACACAACCGCCTCGCGCGCACTTATCTGGTCGATTGCCCAAGGATGCGCGCGCAAGGTGGAGCGACCAGCTCTTGAAAGTAAAGATATGCATCAAATTCACTGGGATGACCGCAGGCGGACGTCACCTGCAAGCCAGCATTGTAGCCTGACGCGCCTTGGCGTGAACGGCACACATACTGAGGCGCCGACCAATTCCCTTTCTGAACGTTCGAACGCCAACCATGAAACTCCGCCACCCTGTCGCAGGCACGTTGGGGCGATGTGAGAGCGCTTGTTGGCTTTCGGGAAATGTTTCTGCTGTTCTCTGGGAGCGACGCCCCCCTGCCGCGCGCATCCGCACAACATCGCACCCTCTGCACTTTGCTCTTCGGCTCCACGGCGCCCTGAGCCAGAGACCGCCTCAAAACGGCCGCAAGACGCCCCAAGCCCGTCCAAAGACGGCCCAGCGGACTCTCTTGGCCCTCTCTTGAAATGCCGTTGGGACTTCTTGGGACCCTCTTGGGCGGACTCTGGAACCTCCGGGGCCGTCTTTGGGGTCCTGTTGGGCCGTCCTCGAGCCCTAGGAGGGGGGGGGAAGGAGGGGCCAGGCGGAGCGAAACAAACGATTGTCTCCGCAGCAAGCAGATAGAATCCGAGGTTGAGAAAGAGATCGAGGTGAACAAGAGACCCCCCGCCAAGAAATCGTTTCCGGTTTCGTGTCGTGCGTGTGGGCGAGGCGAAACTGCGTCGGCGGGCGAGAGGAATGAACCCGCCGTGCTTAGGAAAAACCGAGCTAAATTTTGCTGCGCCCCCCAGTTGGCCAGTGGTTGCCCGGGGGTGTCCCGCGGTGTCCCGTGGTGTGACCGAATCCGAGGTTGGGAAAGTGATCGAAGTGAACAGGAGCCCCCCCCGCCAGGAAATCGTTTTCGGTTTCGTGTTCGTGTCGCGCGTGTGGGCGTGGCGAAGCTGCGTCGGAAGCGAGAAGAAATAACCAGCTGTGCTTACGGCAAAACCGGGCCAAATTTTGCTGTGCCCCCGGGTTGGCCAACAATGGACCAGGGGTGTCCCGCGGTGTCCCGTGGTGTCCCTCCTGGTTGGCCGGCGGTGGCCTGGGGGTGTCCCGCGGTGTCCCGTCGTGTCTTGTGCTATGCGATGCTGTGATGTGGTGTGATATGCCATGCTGTACAATGCTACGCCATGGTATCAATGCGATGCTAAGCTATGCGGTGTGATGCGATGCGATACTATGCTGTGCGATGCGATGCTATGCTATGCTATGCTACGCCATACTGTGCCATGCGATGATATGCTAGTATCGGAGGTTGGGGGGTGAGATCGCAGTGAAACGGAGACCCCCCACCGGGAAATCGGTTTCGGTTTCGTGTTCGTGTCGTGCGTGTGGGCGCGGCGAAGCTGCGCGTGATCCTCCTGTAGCTAGGCCGAAGTAGGAGCGAAAGTCCGTTCCCGTCCGCCAGTGGCTGGGAGGTGTCCCAATTGGGCCGGGCGGTGTCCCGGTTGTCCCGGGTGTCAGTAGGAAGTAGGAGCGAAAGTCCGTTTCCCGTGCGCCGGTGGCCGGGAGGTGTCCCAATTAGGCCGGGCGGTGCCCCGGGTGTCCCGGGCGTCCCAGCGCTAACGCATGTCGCTAATTTCAGAATTCATGTTTGTTCGGCGCCTGCGGCGGGCTTTCTTATCAATCCAGCGTCCCGGCGCTAACGCATGTCGCTAATTTCAGAATTCATGTTTGTTCGGCGCCTGCGGCGGGCTTTCTTATCAATCCAGCGTCCCGGCGCTAACGCATGTCGTTAATTTCATAAATTTGTTTTCCGGCGCCTGCGGCGGGCTTTCTTATCCAATCCAGCTGATTTGATCCAATCCATCTTGTGGGCATTTGATCTCAATCCCCACCCACCTCCTTATCGCCCGCAGGGCGGTCGTATAGGTATGCGATGCGAAGCAATGCGATGCTATGACATGCTATGCGATGCTATGCTATGCTATGCTACGCCATACTGTGCCATGCGATGATATGCTATTATATGCGATGCGATGCGATGCGATGCTATGACATGCTATGCGATGCGGTGCTATTCTATGCTACGCGATGCTCGTCTATGCTGTGCTGTGCGATGCTATGCGATGCTATGCTATGCTGTGACATGCAATGCTACGTTGTAGCTCCAGTTGATCCCCCTTACCCCCCCCCACCACCACACACAGCCCTCCTTATCACCCGAAGGGTGGTCGTACATGTAGGTATGCACTGGCAGGATCTCGCGGCCAGAGACGCAACCGCCTCGCGCACACTTGCCTGGAGCGGGGGGGGGATGGGGAGGAATGGGAACGACCTGGGAGGAGCGGGGAAGGGTGCGGAGTGAGGTGTCTTGTGGGCCTCTTGGATTGTCTCAGAGCGCTCTGGGATCCACAGGCGCCTACGGAGGTCGTCTAAGAGGGCTGTGGGAAGTCTTGGGGCGATCCTGGGAGCTTCATGGGCCGTCTTGGAGGCGTTCTTGCGATGTATTGCGGCGCTCTTCGGATTCTCTGAGGCCGTCGTGGACGCTAGAGAGCGTTTCTTTCTGCTCGGCGATGACGGGCGTCATGGGGGGGGGGCTGGGGGGGGAAAGGTATGACGTAACGCCCCCCCCCCCCCGCCGTGTGGTTCCAACACCACAGCCGCGTCCGCGCGCACGACGCGACGAGCGACGAGCGACGAGCGACGACGACGACGACGACGACGAGGACGACGCGAGCAAAATGTAGGTGGCGGCATGCCCCACTGGGCCTTTGTACACATCGCTCGCGTGCACCACAACGCGCGCGAACACCACAACACTTGCGTACACCGCAAGAACCGTGTGCAACGCAGCGCCTGTGTACAACAGTGCTTGCGTACACTACTGCGCCAGTGTACATGTGTACACCGCAGCAACCATGTGCAACAGAGCGCCTGTGTACACCACAATGCTTGCGTACACCGCAGCGTCTGTGCACGCCACAGCGCCTGTCTACACCACAACATCCGCGTGCAACGCAGTGCGACTGTACACTAGTGCGTGCGTGCAGGACAGTGCTGATAATCGAATGTGACGTTCTTGCCTCTTCCCTCCTCCTCCGCCTCCACCTCCACCTCCACCTCCTCCTCCTCCTCCTCCTCTTCCTCCTCCTTTTCCTCCTCTTCCTCCTTTTCCTCCTCCTTACCGCCTGTCGTGCGGGGCGGCGCTACAGCGCACGTGCGCAATTCAGCGCGCAGTGCACCGCATAATGGTCTACTGAATCGGTCCACTTGGTTCTCGCACGGCCAATTTCGCTGGAGCCTCCTGGGCGCAGATGGGAGAAGTTAGGGTGATGCGGGCGGATTCGGGGGGAACTCGTAGATTCCATCGGCGCTCCTTTGTCCATAAGGATTCCTTTGTATTGTTTTTTTGTGGAATCCACAAGCGCCCCGTTGTGTCATACGGATTCCTTCTAACATTCGATATGCAAGTGTGGCGCTGTGTTGCACACGGTTGCTGTGGTGCACACAGGCACCGTGGTGTACACAGGCACTGCAATGCATGCAGGCATTATGGTGTACACTGGTGCTGTTTTGCACACGTCTGATGTGGTGTACGCAGGCGCTGCGGTGTACACGACAGCTGTTGTGCCCGCGAGCACGGTGGCACAAACTGACGCTGTGTTGCACGCGGCTGCCGTGGTGTACGTAGGCGGCGTGGTGTACACAGGCGCAGTGGTGCACGCAGGCACTGTGGTGCACACAGGCGTTGTGGCGCAGATCGCCACCTACATGCTCGTGCTACCCTTCTTCCGTCATTCCCAGGCATTCCCAGACGCTGCCGGCGCGAAACATGATGTCATCGACCCCCCCACACCCCCTCAGATGATTGCCGCGATCGGCCTGGAACAAATAACACGCTCCAGCCGCGTCCGCGGGCACGACGACGATGAGCGACGAGCTCCGGGGGATGACGATGACAACGACGACGACGACGACGACGACGACGACGACGACGACGACGACGACTGCGGACCAGACTCCAATGCGGATTCTTACGCGGACACCTACGCGGATCCCAGCGTGCACGGCGGCAGAGCCCGGAACGCACTGGGGGGGAGCGTTACGTCATAGGGGGGGGAACGGGGGCCATGACGCCCGTCATGCCCCAAGCAAGAAAGAAATGGTCTCCTATTAGAAAAAGGCGCGTATGCCAAACATAGACGATTCCCCCCAATACTTAGGGCGACGTGTGTTCCTTGCGGCCCTCATAAGTGTCCTCTTGGAACCCTCTTCAAGCGTTTGGGGGGCCCGTCGGGCCGTCTTGAAACCATCTTGGGCGTCATGGCGCACTTTTGGACCGTCTCGGAAGCCTCCTGGACCGTCTGGGGAGCGCCTTCGGGCCCTCCGAAAGCCCCCCGAAGGACCCCGAGGGGACACAGTGGGCACCGCGGGGGAAAAGGGAGTTTTGGAAAAGTGGGCAGCCTCGGGCCCCAGGGGCCTGGTCGCGGGGTCCGCATGGTGATGGGCAACAATGATGAGCGCTTGCGCACTGCAGCCAGAGCCACCTTGAGCCAAAATGGTTACGGATGCTCGTGGGGCGTCTTTGGGGGCTCCTGTGGGGCCTCGTGGAGCTTTTAAGGGGCCTCTAGAGGGGCCTTTTGGGCTCTCTTGGGGGCCTCTTGGAGCCTTCTGGAGGCCTACTGGGGCGGAAGGCTCGAATTGTCGGTTCGTGTTCCCCCTCTTGGGGCCCTCTTGGGGCGATCTTGGGCGCTTCTGGGGCCGCCTTGGGGCACTCATTGGGCCGTTTCGGGGTTCCCTGTTTGGGCGCCTTTTTGGGCCGTCTTGACTTGGTTTCTGGGGCCTCATGGGCTGTCATGGACCGTGGGAAACGCGAAACAGCGAAAACACGCACAACCTTCAAAAACAATTGGGGAAACGTACTTGTTTCGCCACCTGAATGCCTCGTGGGAGTCCTTTTTGAGGGCATCGTAGCCATCTTGAAACCCTCTTGGGCTGTCTTCGAAACCATGTCGGACCAATTTTGGAAAGCTCTTGTGCGGTCTTGGGCTCTCTTGGAGCGCTCTTGGGCCATCACGGCGCCCTCTTGGACGTCTTTCGGCCCCCTTTTGACGTTCTTTGGCGCCCCCCGCCGGGCCCGAAACGGCCAGAAGAAACATCAGTGCACTTCGGGGGGCCCGGGGGCCCCTACCCATTCATGTATGTATGTATAAATATATATATATATATATATATATA